TATTGCTAACATACATAAATAATTTAAAAGTATAATGCATTAATAGTAGTAGTAGTAGTAATAATAATAATACAATTATTAATATTATTGTTGTTTTTGATGATGTATTTATTAGTAGTAATCATAAAAATACAATTATTATTATTATTTGTTGTTGTTGTTGTTGTTGTTAATGTATATATTAACAATTTTACTATAATAATAATAATAATAATAATAATAATAGAATTTATTATCATTGTTGTTGTTTTCTTGTTGTTAATGTATTTATTACCATATTTTCACAATAATAATAATGATAATATAATTTACTACTACTACTATTATGATTATTTCCAGAAAGGCATGCAATACTGCCTTAGAGTTTGGCCAATATGATATAACAAGAACAAGAACAATAATAATAATAATAATAACGATAAAAACAATAATAATAAATGCTGTAATCAGTAAGAGATCTGACGAAGAATTTTCTGAATCAGCTTTTGCACTGTCTGACTCATTGCTGATCCTATCTGCTGTTCCATTTGCAAAGACAAGCATAAGAAAGCCGACTAACGGAAGATAACCACGCTCCAGCGGCCTTATCTCTCATCAGTCCACTCATCTGTTGCTTTGCAGTAGCAGATCTCTTATGATCAGCAGATCAAACCAGCACATGGATGAGATCAGACCCAGAGAGGAGCCACGACACGTGGTTGTGTGCTGAGCAGGGAGCTTCATAGGAGTGGAAGAGTTCTTTCAAAGTGCAAGATCAAAGAAGATCGGCAGGAGAGCGTTTCGAGGAGAAGTTTCTCTAATGTGAGGTCAACGTTCACCTTATTCACCTGATGTCATTTCTGATATCAATTTAGGAATAAACCCAGCCATTTTTCCTGGCATTTACAGAGCATTCCACAGCAGGAGCGTGAGGCGTCAATCTTCTTTAAAACGGCATAAACAGCTAGAATCCTTTGTCAGATCAGCAGTCCTGTTTTGTAATGCTTTACGAATGTTGTTGTGAGACTGAATGCAAAGGTTAAACAGGTGGACTGTTTGTTGGATGCTTAAAGACATCTAAAGCCAGGTGCACACCTGTTTTTCTGTCCTTCCTTATGATTGTTGCTTGTCAGATTCTTCAGTGTCCCCGGTAAGAGCTTGAAATTTCAAAGCAGACTGTGACATTAACAGCCATTAAGTCAGTTTGTGTGATATATATCTTAGGACTTTGGTCATGACTGACAGATGTTGACTAGATGATAATTCACCGCATTAATGTTGTCAGTGTTTTCTTAAAAAAAAAAAAAGAAGAAAGTGTCTGAAATTTGCTGTTGCTGGGCGGGAAAGGAAAGGTCATTTTGATTGTATGATCATGACGTGAGGGGAATGCTAAATAATGACATTTATATTGCACATCATATTATATAAATAACCCTTAACATGGATTATAATGCAATATGATATGCAACAAATATTTTATTATTGCTTATAAATATGCATTCAATGTTGATACAAGAAACTAATTATATATAAACACTGCAATTGCTGTGCTCCTATTTTTCGGAAATTGTGGCAGAATCAAAGTATGCAACAAATGGTTTATTTTGTGTTTTTGTTACTTCAACAGGATACCAAAAATTAGGGACAGAACAATAAAAGGCATTATGACCTCAAATCATCTTGCCTATTCTCATATTCCCTTGTAGCGAATTAGGAGATCTGTATTATCATCCGCCTCACATGACTGCATCACAGTCTATTCTCCCCGACCAGG